GGCTTGTCATACAGCTCATCCGCGTCGATTGGAGCCCGAATACCTTTACTTTGCGCTACAAAGGTTAGATATTACACACAAGACAAAGGAACTACAGACACTCACATCCTGGCTCAACTGGGCTAGCATTAGCCAAGGCACCAAGCAAAGCGACGAAAGCAAGTGGCAGAAGCTTCATGATGGATGTCGGTTACTGGCGGGGGGGAGGCAGTGGTAGAAGGCCTATGAGCGATTCTTTCTCAGAGTACCAACCGATATTTATCACCAGCTTTCGAGTTCTCTAGACGTCGCCTGACCGAGCACGTCAGTTTTGGATGACGCGTCAAGAGAGTTGAAACAGGAAAATACAAACCACCTTGCATGGTTGGGACCATTGACAGACCATGAACCATTATCCAGATTTTGGTACAATGTAACGCTGACTGCATGTATCCCTGGCATATGGCGATCAGTGATCAACGCATTCTTCTCAGTTAGTTGTAATTGGCGATCTATCGTACGGGCCTATCAGCTTTGCAGGCATGGGAGCTGACACAAACAAGTCCCAACGCAGCCTTGCGCAGCAATGGCGTGTTGGCTTGCATGGATCACATCTTCCCTGATCTGCACTCATTGTGAGTGCCCTCCCGTGGTGGCCTCCATTCTGTTGTCTTATTACAAGCTCATATCTTCGCCTACCTTGGACTTGCCCCAAATCCCAAATCCCATTGCACACCTCCTACCTGCCGCGATGGAAAAATCGCTGAACTTCATCAAACGGTCATCCGAGTATGATGCTTTGTCACAGCATGATAGCACAGAGTCCATCGGACCAGACCATGATGAAAACCTTCCATCCCATCAGAAGGCGCGCCGATCTCATCGGTGGAAGTCCTACCTGAAGCTTGCTCTCATCTCAGGTGTATTTCTGGCTGCTTATTCGTTGCTCATTGTTAGCCTTACGTACAATGTCGCCAAAAGCCACCGGAAGATTGGGCAGAGATTCTTAAAAACACCAGTCGATCCTGAATACATCGTATATGAGCCCCGGGTAATGGAGCAATGGGAGGACCGACACGGCGAGCCCGTCACATACTTCGGTGAGCCCAGTGAGAAAATCGACGAGGGATGGCACGACCTTTTCAAGTGTGAGTTATTCGAAAAAGCTGTCAGACACATATCTAGTTGCTGACATGATCCTACTCCAGATCAAAACATCGGGGTAGACCCTAAATTGATGAAGGAAATGGATCGTGATTGGGAGGGGATCCAGCTTCCTGACGGCACCTACTATGGATCCATCATGGTCTTCCACCACCTCCACTGTCTTGTAGGTCCTTTTTTGCTTCTTTGAGACTGGGCGCGATCTTTCATGACCCGTTGCATTGCTAACCCGAGCAGAAAAATCTCTATCATGCGCTCAACCCCGAATACTACGGGCTTGCCAACTTGACGGGCGAGGAACAAGCCTCATGGAGGGATCACACTAGTAAGGCTCGAATATCTTTCCTCCACAGTTGAAGAAGACATTGCTGAACCAGCCTACACTAACAGTTCACTGCCTCCACATGCTGAAGGAAGCCGTGATGTGTCAGGGTGACACTACGGTTCTCACCATGATGTGGGCGGACTATCGCCTCCGCCCCATTGGCAACCTTACCGCTCCTCATGAATGCGTTAATTGGGATCGCCTGATGGAGTGGGTCAAGCCCAACTCGAGGGACCTGACTAAAGAGGGCTATCTGGTTCATCCCAAGTTTGGTATGTCATTCGTCAGCTACGGCTGCTCATTGCTGTCAACCCGAGTTGCTGACGCACAATTCGTCTACGATACAGGTCCAGTGGTGGTTGATGGTCACCTTGGTAATGGCCCGGTCGGCTAGGTATCGTTTCTAGGAAAGTAGCTCCAGATTACCGTAGAAGGCGTGCGTTCAGTAGCTATTTATTGTAAGTTGTCCTAAGCCCGAGAATACGTCAAATTCTGTGCCGACTCCCAATGCGGGAGCCATAGGATTTAAGAATGAAGGTATTTCTACTCGAGCGTTTATGTTGCTATGTTTTCTGGGACTCGTAATAGTGGAAGTATAAGTCCACGTATCCCCCTTGGTTGTGCGAACTAAAGAGGAAAAGGTCCGCTGGGGCCGAGAATCATGCTTGTAGCAGGGCCTACAGGATAGCGCCAGTGTACTACAAAATTGCTCAAGCACGTTCGTAGACATCGATATGATCCTCGTCATATGAGATAGGCGTATCCAAACTACCATGACGGATGCTATAGTAGGACGACGTGAGCTCTCAACGTCCGCCCGAATCATAAACATTCCCCTTCTCGTGCCAGACCTTACCTCTAAATAATATACAATTCTAAATACGGACCATGTATGAGCAACGCTTGGTCCCCTTAGCCAGTTATCAGATGCCGGTAGTCCCCAAATTGCCTATTCAGCTATACTAGCTATTGTTTGTCTATTTTATCTATAGCTGTATTAGTAAAGATAACTCTTAGTAAGGATTAGGCTTCTTAACGGCCCATCCTCGCCCAGCCCATCCCCAGCCCAAGCCCACGGTGGGTTGGGCTTTGGGCGCGAGTCTAGAGCCTATAATGGGCCTTGTGTTTATTATAGGGGTTTATAATAGGCCTATAAAGCCCTAATTAAGTCCTCAGCAGTGTAGAAATAATACAGTTATAGAAGGAAAACGGTACATACGACCATAGGGTGTGGAGAACAGGGCTTCCCGTCCGCTCAGCCGTACTTAAGCCAACTGTGTAAGCTCGGCCAAAGGACAGTGGCGCCCTCTGGGGCTCGCTGCTTTACGGGTGAGCGATGCTAAGTTGTAGGGTGAGTGCGGGTGAGCTGGGTGATCCTGTTCAGAACATGGGTGAGCCGGGTGAGCTGGGTGAGCTAGATGATTTAGTGCAGGCTCAATCGCACATTGAGCTATCCTAGTGTCTCCATCATATGAAATAAATAGGGAGGGTATCTTTTGCGCTTCGTCAAAGATTTTATTCTCTCTTCCAATCTTTTCCTGACTTTGCCCTGGT